GTAGAGTCTCGCGGATCGGTACGGAGACGTCTGTACTTATCCTCGGGAGGCTACAGGGCTGTTAGGAGTACTTCCCTTCTTGATTTCCTTATCGTGCGGTTAAATTCCTTGGGGCTTATGCCTTTGAGTTCTTTCTACTCACTCTTACGCGAGCGCTTGTTATAAATCAAAAATTGAAGGATTGTAATGGCACTACAAATGTGGTGCGGGATGGTTTTCCCAGTACAGTTGATTGGACTATTATAGTCGCCTTATGGAAGGATATTCTAGTGTTCAGCTCAGTAACAGAACTTCTAAGGGTCGTGAGGCTAGGCACAGGTTGCCGCGATGCTTATGAGCGATTATTCCGCAGTATTGGTGTGATGGTAGAATGTTTGCCCACGTGTCGGGGCAGTGAATGACTTGAAGGGAGGTTTACTCAGTGTGTAATCAAGGGATTCAGTATTTTATTCCCGGCAAGGGAAAGGCAGTCGGACTAAGGATGGTCAGATGTGGGCTGGTGGAAGTAATGAGACTTGGTAATTGCAAGCGTGGTGGAGCTTTCTTCTATGATGGGGTGTCGTGGCCCTAATGGAACGTACTAAGTTCGTCGATGTTATAATCTGCTACAATTCGCCTTATGGCAGGATAATGTGAAATACTATTGGAGATACAACTGTCAGATATCGCGTGGTGCGGTGGTTTAGGATCGAATCATAATTTCTAGTATTGGCGGTTCGATAAAGATGACCGTCGGAAAGGTTTAAAAGTTAGTAACAAATGGTGGATTCAAGTTCCAGGAAGATACATTTTCTTAAGGCAACAACTGAGCAGCAAAAGATGAGAAAACATGTGGGAAGTGTCAGGCGGAGTTTTGAACTTCTATAGGGCCAGGTATAAGAAGCGTAGGTCGAGCAGTTGATTAAAGGAGCGAGTTTGCCCAAAGTGGGAGAGTGGCGGAGCTGTATAGGGCTTAGTAGTAGGATGACTACGCGCCTAAGGATAGTTTGGAATGATCTGGGATTTTAGCAATGAGCAATTGAAGTCTGTAGGTTTAACTCGAAGCATGGGTTGCTATGCGGCAGGAGATTTGGTACGACGGAAAGGAGCTGCTTGAAATGAAGAAGGATGCAGCATAACTCGGAATTGGAAAGGTGTTGCCGCACATTTAATTGAGGTCCACAAGGGGTAAATGGACTGGTACAGCTAGAGAGCGGGCTTGGACTCAGGATGGGTTATTGATGTCATAGTGCTTGTATCCCGTGCAGCAGCATTGGAAGATGGCGGGAAGTGATTTCCACAGGTGGGTTATTTCCTGTGAGCAGGGTAGCGGTCGCGTGGTTGGCGAGGCTTCTGCAAGGAATTCTATTGGTTATACAGCGAAGAGATCGGTCGTGCGAATGGGGTTGATGATTCAGAGTATCAAAAGGGGGTGTTATCGAATGATTCCGAGAATTTTGGCGGTTGATTGCGCCGGTTATGACAATAAGAGATAAGGAATCCCGGTGAATTCCAGAGTTGTGAAATAATGGCTTCAAGCTAAGTGGGAGAGTCCCACCGCCTATGATTGGGTTGCATGGTTAACTACTCGTGAGGTTTCTGGTTATTAGCATATTGATGGGTTATCCCAGCTACGGGAAAAGACCATAAGTGGTAAAACGAGTAGATGAATTGTTGGGGACGTGCTATGGTTGGCCTTATTGGCTCATGTTCAAACTTGGGGAAGGATTCAGGGTTTATGCCTTGTATAGAAGCGGGTTTAAAAGGGAGTGATTCTGCCAGGTGCTTCGTTGAGAGGGTATTAATGTGCTAGAAGATTCATGGAGTTGATTATATTCGGGACCAAGTCATAGCGTGTGGCTCTCAACAACGGTCCTAGTAGATCCCAAGGGATAAGTGTGGTGCCCAATGATTTCAAGCCTATGGGTACAGTTAAGGATCAAGACTTGTAACAGCTTATGAGAAGGTGCCCAGAATGTTCTATGATATTTTAACTTGTGATGTAGCATTTGAGAGATATGAGATAGTTCGTGGGATTTGAGACAGCATGGTCTCGTGACTCAGGGCCACTCAAGGTGAGTGTAGAGGGAGTATGTCATGTGTTGAATGGAGTTAGTATTATTCCCAGGGCAATCAAGGATAAACTGGAAGGAGGCAGATTGATTAGCCAGAGTTGAATTGGCATATAGGGGCCAGTGGTCAGTTCATTCAGCATGATCAAGTTATGCGTATGATTTGTGGCGGTATGTGTGAGGCTTGTCGGCCGCCGTAATTGATGTTATTCAGAAGCATCCTTCTGTTATGGCTTATTAAGTGGAAGCGGATTCCGGAAGGGCTATGGTGGCTTGGACCACTACTTAGAGTTTGCGTATCCTATGGTTATGGGAATTTACCTGTGTGTTGCTATGAGTCTCCTGAAGTGAGTTAANCCGCAAGATAATCCCAAATATTTCTAGACATTTTTTAAAGAAAATTCTACATAAAATCTTAAAAGTATATATAAAAATTATATATTTATATGTCGGTTTGGTTCGGATTTTTTTACTCAATACCAAACCAAATCAAACCATACCTAGTCGAGTTTTTTACTTGGTTTGGTTTGACTTTTCGGTTTGGTGCGCTTTTTCGGTTCGATTTGTACACCCGCTATGAGTTTTATAATGTAACATTTATTGAAATTTTATTATTGTTTATACCTATTTATGTTCCATGTTAGAAATTACTGGATTGGATTGACCCATAACACTAAAGGCTACATATACAACTACATCACTAATTCAAACTATTTGTATATATAATTGAAATGTTATTGAGTATATAAATATTTCTATAAAGCTTAATCTATCTATTACAAATAGCAATGCATTCAACAATACTTTTCCCGGCAATAGTCTATAGTTGTCATGAAATAAGTACTTGGTGAAATAACTCAAGTAAATACACTACAATAATTGCTCTTTTTATTCTATATGTGTATATATATTTTTTGCTCATAAGAAGAATATATTTTTATATTTAAAAATAATTAAGTCAATTGAAAATAGCCTCTTTATCGATATAAAATATGGGCAAAGTTACCTACCCATTATCTTCTTCAGACCCTACTTATAAAAATTACTTTGGATATATTATATTTAAAAATAATTAAATCAAATTTATAATTTTACTCTTAATGAGATAATTTACAACAAAATAAACATGTAAAACTTATTTTAGAACATATAAGATGGGACGGAGAAGTAATAATAAAAAATTGCAAATATCCACTGTTCATATTTTCAACTTGGAAGAATAAGATAGTTAACCCATGACCATGACCTGTCTTTTTAATTCCTCCAAAAGAGAAAATATCTATAGTTCGTCTTCTCCTACAATTATTATTTCCCAAGTTAAGTGACCCAACATTTAATTTTTTTTCTTTCTTTATACGGATTAATTGGGCTTTAGAATCTTGAGTTACTGATGAGGTAAACAGATTTTTGTTGCTGTAAAAATTGGTGAACTATAGTGGAATCCCATACCAAGGAAAAGTACCCTTTTTCAGGCAATTCTTTTGATATCTCTATTATTGCTAGTTGAGCTGTGCGTATGCTTCAAGATTTGGTAAAAATCTGAACTTTGTTTCTTATTCTGGTTGTTTCATCTGAGCTGCATATTTACTCCCTCTTCCCGTTTTATGTGACACACTTTTTTTAGTTGTCCTAAAAAAATGACATTTTTTTATATTTAAAAATAATTTTACTTTATTCTATTTTATCATAAGTGAGAAATTTGTATCTGTCTGTCTCATTTTACGTGGCACACTTTACTTTGTTCTAACAAAAAGTATATTTTTAATATTTAAAAATAATTTAATTTTAAATTTTCAATTTTACCTTAACGAGATGATTTATAGTCGCACGAATGTTCATGACTTGTGTTACAAAATGTACATAGACACAGATTCATATAGTTAGCACAATCATAGGTAGGGATAATTAGGGATTTTTGATTTTATTTCCTTAAATAGATTCACTTGTACACCTACAAATAGCTCTCATTCTTTGAATAACAAGAGAAGTATATTGCTCCATTATATCTATATTTTACATGGTGTCAGAGCCTGTCTATTCATGTTTGGCTCCTATGATATATTGTCCACGCTCCAATTGATGGTATGGGCGTGCGATGGGGGTGTTAGAGTGGGTTAGAGTCCCACGTCGGTTGGGGAATGTAGTGGTTATCTCCTTATATGGATTTGGGCAATCCTCCTCTCATGAGCTAGCTTTTGGGGTTGTGTAGGCCCAAGTGCCATATCTTACAACTTGTATTAGCTGCTATTTTCTTGTATACTGGTATAAAGGATTTATGTGCCAGGGTATCTGGATTTTAGTTTGTGTTTCTTGAATTTCTTTGCTTGGTTGAGTTTTTGACCTTACTTGAATTTATTTTCTCCAATGTGATAATTTCCACTATTGCATAGTTTGGCATTGCCAGATATAGTGAAGAATCATATAGCCAGCCCACTTAACTTAGGTCATTAGGTGTAGTTGTTGTTCTTGTTGTATATTGGGTATTGAGTCCTTCTTGATTTTAGTTTCACTTGAAAAATATTTAGAGATATTTTTATCCTCTTGCCCTTGGATCTTATTTCAAATCTCAGTACCTCAAAATTCTGCTTGATAGGAATGTTTCCCCAATTAAGTGTAAAGTACTTCTTTTATTTCAGTCAGTCCCTCGAGGATTAATCATTGCCGAATGCAGCTGGTATTTAATTGAAAGAGTCCATTTAATTTGATTCTTTGAAACATTTCTGAGAAATGAAAGATTGGTTAGAGAAAAAAAAAGTACTTTGAGTTTGGACGGGTATGGAACAGTCAAAGGAGGAAGTAGAGGCAAATGATGTTGCTGCTAGTGCGCTACTTAAAACGAGGGAATGTGATATTTCTGTTGAACCATCGATGGGGAAGTGTATAAATACCAGTCATGAGTTGGCGGAGGGATCAACTTCTGCCAGTTCGGCAATGATGGAGGATGATGATACGAACAGATATGCAATGCCTGTGAAGGATCCTCAGCCCGCCAGTACAAGCTCTTACTCGATGAGTAGTTCAAGGCTCACCATTGAAGAGTTAGTTAGGAGTAATTACAATATTCCTGAACCAGTTACTCTTAGAAATTACTCTGATAATTGTGAAAAAAATCACAAGCCACAAATTCAATGGCAACATTCCTATCAATTGGGGGGTGGCTCTAGAGCTGTGAAGGGCGATGTAGATCCTTCTTCCACAGACAAGAATTTGCTAGCGCTGAAAGAGTTGAAGCATGCATCTGATAAAGATATCAATGTAGGCTCTAATGCAGTCTCTTCCCAATCAAAAGAAGACCATAACCTAACCATTCCAAGCAGTAGATTACTTCCAGGAAATAGTGGATCAAAACTTTTATCTGCATCTGGCTTTTCTAAGTTTTTCGCTAACCGATCTCTTAAAGGCAAAGATGTTGATGCACCAAAAGGCACTTCACTTCATAAAGAAGTTCATAGCGTCTCAATTCCGCAGAATAAGTACGAGTATGAGCAAGCTTCCATAAGAATGGTATCATCTGATGCATCGTTTAAGCCAGGCGCTAACTCTAATCAAGCACCACTTAGTTGTAACAGTCAGGAAAGAGAAAGACCAACTTCAACTCACAATGGAGTTACATTGAGAGAGTGGATAAACTCGATGGGATCACGGATAAAGAAAGCTGAGCGGATTCACATATTCCGGCAAATTGTGAAGCTAATCGATATTGCACACTCCCAAGGAATTGCCTTTCAGGATTTACGGCCTTCCCGTTTCATTTTACTTTCACCTAATGGTGTTAAATATATCGGTCCATCTATCCAAATAGACTCCATGTATGTCGTAAATCAGAATACAAATGGGAAAAGGCCATCCAACCTGGAAATGCATTCTCAAAACAACTCGGGTGCAAAGCTGCTGAAGGTCAGTGATGACATGGACTTGATGAGAGAGCAGCCTGAATATGTTTCCAGATATGTCGTTAGAGATATTAATAGTGAAACCTTACTGGAGTCTGACACTAATTACTTGGAAAAGAAGTGGTATACTTGTCCGGAAGAACTCAATCACAGAAGCCTAGCATCATCTAATATCTACAGTCTCGGGGTTCTTCTTTTTGAGGTGGGTAATCAATTTATCAAACAGTAGATGCTGAATTTATCAATTCTCCTATGTGGCTTCTTTTTGTTAATTTTCACTAAACACTCCGGCTAATTTAATTATTTCTTTTTTCTCTTGATTCATTAAAATTGGGGTGTGGGTACAAGGGATGTTTCGCTTCACAATGTGCTTTGCGGAAATGGTGAAATAAATTATCTTTCCTCTTACTAATTCCTGTTGCTTCTATTAGTTGCTCTGCTGTTTCGAATCACCAGCGGCACATTCTGCAGCAATGTTGAATTTGCATAGTCGCATTCTCCCACCAAATTTCCTTTCTCAGAATCCCAAGGAAGTTGGCTTTTGCTTCTTGCTGCTTCATCCTGAACCTTCTTCTCGTCCTACAGCAAGGTAGTATTATGTTTCCTAATTTCAGGTGCAATATAATTTTCTGCTACTTCGACTTTGCTGAAACAATTCATTGTTGAAGTACCCTAAATTTTGGTTATTTAGATAACATTGTGATGTGCTGAGTAAACTCAGAGCATTTTCAGCTTTTGCCAATCATAGATTCCTTGTAGTTTGTTATATTGTCTATTATGCTCCTTTTTTCCTTTCGGGTGAGAAGCTTGTTTGGTGTTGAAGACTGACATCTCTATAATCAGAGATAGAGGAGGTCTTTACTCCTTGAGGCATCTTAGCCACTTCTTTTGTTCTCTTATATATTATATACTCCCCTCGTTCCAGTTTATGTGAACCTTCTCGGAGTACGAGGGTCAAACTGACTAATTTTCGGCATGAATTTAGACATAGAATTTTCAATTTTTTTGAGATAAAATTTATATATTTAGAAACTATTAAAAAGTAATATAAGTAGGATAGCTTTCAGACGATGAAGAGTTGAGTTTCTGTGATGGTGGAAAATAAATAGCAAAACTGCCACTCGGTAGGATTGAGAGAAAAGACCTTTTTAGAGAGTTATATGTTCTTTGCTAGTTAGTTGTCTTCTAACCTGCAATTTGTCGGTCTGATCTGATGGATATGTCTGCTTTTGTGCTGGTAACCCTGTAGCTTTATCCTATTCAGTTTTAACTACTCTAACTGGTGGAATCTCAGGTACACCAATTTTGTGAATTTCCTCAAGTGACATTGTTTTATTTGTAATCACATTCACAATTCTACTTATCATCTTTGCAGGGAAATCCTGCAGTCTGAATTAATTTATGGAACTGAAGAAGTATGTAAAGTAGATGGTGTGCCATCAATTATTGAGAAGGATGATGACCCTGATTCAGACATCTTGCTCTATTTCCTAGTTTCACTGCAGGAGGAAAATCAGAATAATACCTCCAAGTTATTACAAAGAATAGAGTGCTTAGAAGCTGATATCAAGGAGGTCGAGAAAAAAGATGGCTTTAGAACTTCAAATTTGGTGGACAGAGACTTCCATAATACGCGGCAGGGATCCTACTTTAAACATCTCAAGTCTAATGACCGTCTTTCTATGAAAAACATGACCAATGAAAAGCTGATTAAAAATTTTTCTCAGCTTGAAAGTGCTTACTTCTGCATGAGATCGCAAATCCAACTTGCGGAAAATGATACGATAGGTCGACCAGACAAGGATTTGTTGACATGTCGTGAGAGGTTGTCCCAGGTTTCAACAAAAGTTGTGGAGCCTAATCTTAAATCTGTTGATCGTGTTGGAGCCTTCTTTGAAGGTGTTTGTAAATATGCTCGCTACAGCAAGTTTGAGGAATACGGGACATTAAGAAATGGCGATCTTCTCAACTCTATAAATGTGATCTGCTCCCTTTGTTTTGATCATGAAGAGGACTATATAGCTGCTGCTGGTGTTTCAAAGAAAATCAAAATCTTTGAATTTGCTTCACTTTTGAATGACTCTGTCGATCTTCAATATCCTGTGGTTGAGATGTCAAACGAATCTAAGCTTAGCTGTCTTTCCTGGAATAAATATATGAAAAACTATCTGGCTTCAACAGATTATGATGGCGTAGTCAAGGTGTGTACCTTTTTCACTGAACTTGTTAAAGTGATTTTGACAATATTTTTAATTCTTACCCCTTATCTGACTAGCCTATAAATACTCGAAAAGTATTCTTTCTGGCATGACTTTTTCTTGGCAATGTAAGAGAATATGACTCCTTGCTATTAAGTGCATTAATTTATAATTGAAAGGTACATCAACTACCCAACACATGCTTGCAGTTGAAGCGGAAAGTATTTCATTCATTTTGTTAACTTAATTTTTACAACTTGTTCTGTCACTCTGTAATTCGGTGTCTATTCTGAATCTAGATGTGGGATGCAAGCACAGGTCAAGGATTTTCACAATATGTAGAGCACCAGAAGAGGGCTTGGTCGGTCGATTTTTGTCAAGTAGATCCCACAAAGTTTGCCACTGGAAGTGATGATTGTTCCGTAAAAGTGTGGAATATTAATGAGGTAAGGTACTTTACCTGATCCTAGCTTGCTAACTCTTAATGAAGCTGGTGTCTTCATTGAGATTTAATCGAAGGAAACAAACAAGGAACTTAATTCATTTCTATCGGCAGAGGAGTTCTGTGGATACAATCTGGAATCCTGCCAACATATGCTGTGTGCAGTTCTCCGCTTACTCCTCTCATCTGTTGGCTTTTGGATCTGCTGACTACAAAATCTACTGCTATGATCTTCGCCATACTAGGATTCCGTGGTGCACTTTATCAGGACATGAGAAGGCTGTTAGCTATGTAAAATTTGTAGATTATGGTACCATGGCTTCTGCATCCACAGATAACACATTAAAGCTATGGGACCTTAAGACAACAAGTTCGGAAGGACTGTCCTCAAATGCTTGCAGCTTGACTTTCAAGGGGCACACCAATGAGAAGGTATACTGAGGATATTTTCTTTATAATGAACATCTGAATGCAATAAGTTCAATTTCATTAATGTTCTTTCTGCTTTGTACAGAATTTTGTCGGGTTATCAGTTTTGGATGGATACATTGCATGTGGTTCCGAATCTAATGAGGTAACATCATATCTCATCATTTTTATTAAGGATATGTGGTTTTGATTTAGACCACTCAACTACTGTTGTTCCTTACCATTCCCAACATCTAAAGGTTGTTGATTTCCAGCGGAAGCATCAATTCTTTCTTTAATTTAACATTTTTATGCAGGTATATGCTTATCATAGATCTCTACCAATGCCAATTACTTCGTATAAATTTGGATCTGTTGATCCTAGCTCTGGCAATGAAGGTGAGAGTAATGGGCAATTTGTTTCAAGTGTTTGCTGGAGAAGAAAATCTAATATGGTAGTTGCGGCAAACTCAACTGGATGTATAAAGCTGTTGCGTTTGGTATGAATTAAAGCTCATATCCTCTGAATCTGAGCTATGCTGTCAGACGTGTTCTGCAACTAGCTTCAGGTAATTTGTTAAATTTAGTTCATTTCACATATTACTAAATTGGTACACAAATATTTTTATGAGTACAATGTTTTGAACATTTCAGGACTAATGAATCTAGGTGTGGAAGATTGAAGCTGAATTTGTAGTTGTGGGTTAAATGCAATGGACCTTAGAATAGGAAGACAACTTTTTTAGGAGCCAAAAGTATTCAACTCTGATGATGGAAATGGAGATGAAGCAGTTCTGGCCTCATTCGGTGCTTCTTTGCGAAGAGATGACATCAGCATTGTTGAGAAATTTTGCTTTGCGTGATAAGTTTTCTGAATCTGAGGTACAAATCATAAATTTTGGAGGAAATATATTCTTTACTTCAATGTGGCGTGAGCAGTAAACTTCGATCCCTATTTCTTTCTTAATATTGTAAAGGGGAAAAACACCCTTCTTACGACTAGTCTATACAAATGTAGTTACTTGTTGAACAGCAAATAATGAAATTTAATTTGGTTAAACATTTCGTAATGGGCGTCGAATTGTTCTAGTTATTTCTGCATATCTTAGCAATTGTTGCTTCGCTGCAAAGTACAACTTAAAGGTTTCTCTGTCATTATCTTCTTTGCCTATCATGCTTTAGGCTTCATTTCTTCAAGGTGAATAATTTTACAGTGTTCAATACTAACCTTTAGCTGCTGACGACCTTGCTTTTGTTATTTTTATAATTTTATTGGATGACCTTTGTGCTCAGAGCCATGTTAAGTACTTGGCCTGGTGTAGCAGAGCTCATTCCAGTTCCAGGTATCTGCATCAGTACTTACATAATATTCATTAATGGTATTTAGAATGAAATTTTGACTTCTCCCAAAACATTTTTACTTTAAAGATCTAGTAGGTATCTAAATATCTGTGTAAAACTCAATTAACTCCTTCGTCTAAGTAGGATATTGAATTTTAGTGACGCAATAGCTTATCACTTACTCCCTCTGTTTCAATTTATGAGAAACAATTTGACACGGCACAAAGTTTAAGAAAGAAATAAAGGCTTTTGGAACTTGTGGTGCTAAACAAGCCATAACATTGTGTGAATGTAATTATTTTGAAACTTGTGGTCTTAAACATGTAGTGTTTGTGCGACTGTAAAAACTTCTCAGTAAGGGTAAAATGAGAAGTTTAGGTTAATTTGTTTTCAAATTTAGGTAGAGGTAGTTCATTTTGGAACGGACTAAAAAAGAAATAGGTTTTACATAACTGGAACAGAGGGAGTAAAGTATAAGAACAATAGCTAAATAATAAGGATGATAAATATAAAATAAGGTTGACAAGCTGCTGAATCATCATATCATAAGCTGCTACATCAGCACGTGATAAGCTGCTATATTAGCATGTGATAAGCTGCTGCGTCATTAGGTGATAAGCTCCTGCGTTGCATACCACTGTTCGAACATTTGGATAGAGTCTCAGATATGCCAAATTGTGGACGAACAGAAAGTTCATGGTAATTCAAAAATTGATCATAGCATGTCCGGTTTTTTACTGAAGTGTAGCATTGGAGCAGATAATCTAGATAGTTAAAATTTAATTACTCCAGCTCTACATATGATGCTATCAACAAAAAATGCACCTTCCAATGGCATTGATCCCCTTTTTCATACGGCTTAATCCAGACACTTGTGAACTCAAAGTGGACTCTTTCTTCTAGCCATCTCCTGAACCTCACAAAAAGGAAAAGATAAAAAAGAAGAAAAAAGAAAAAAAGTAAGAGGTTAAAAAGGAAATACAAAATGTATGTCCATTTCGTTTTTTCTGGTTAAAGTTTCAAGTAGTGAATCCTTTCTGCTCTAGCATTTTCTTTACTTTTGTGCTTAAATGATAGTATCACTTTGTTGAATTCACTCTTCGTGTCAGTAAAATATGTGAGATGTCGAGTTTGCACTACTGTAAAAGAATTCAAGAAAATTTGACCGAGGAGCAAAAGAATAGTATCACTTTGTTGAATTCACCTTCTGCATTTTGCATGTAGGAACATAAGTTATCAGTTATCACTTACTACCCTTCCAAATCCTACTTTGACTTTAGGATTGAGCATCTAATAAGTCATATCAGGTCCAATGGGAGCTGTTCTAAACTACCACTTACAAATTATAGAATGTTTAGCAGTAGCCTGATAATAAAGTTGATTCAATAGAGATACAAAGTAAGTAGATGGTGCAGTTGCTTTGATTTTCTGTTTAACACTATTTAAGTAAGACCCCTTCTTTTAGAATCTTGATCAGTGCTAAGTGCCAACACATGTCGTAAAGTTAAAAAATTTCAATATTTCAAACAGGGAAAGGCTACGGCAATTACTGAGTCATTCAATGGTGATGACAATTCTTTTAATTCAACTCTTTCAGTGAGTGATGCTTATTAGTTGCACTGCACCAAAGCTACTTTATTATGTTGAGGGACAAAAGTATGGTTATCCGTGGAACATAATCAAACAGATGAAATCACGCTATTTGCAATAAAAGGTTATTACAGCTACCTTAGCTCAAATAAGACAATCTTGTATTACTCTACCGCTGGGTCAAATTTCTGCTTGAAACATATATATTTTTTTTAATTGATGAGTTTTATGCTTGGAATATTTAAAATGATTACTCTAGATCTAACCAGCCGTGGAATCATCCATTGATGTTTGCATCAGGGTAGGCTACCTACATCATACCCCTTGGGTTCCCCGGACCCTGTGTGAACGCGGAATGCTTCGTGCACCGGGCTGCCCTTACTCTAGATCTTACCATTATCAACTTTTATTAAGTTTTATTTTGATATCTGCTCGGAGCAAATAGTAATAAAAACAGGGTGCGTGCTAGTGTCTAAAAGTGCGTATATGCATTAACCTTTCTTTAAAATTTGCTTGCAGACATTTTGAGCAATGTAAGATGACCTTTAATCTGACAAATAGAGCTATAAATGCTGCATGTAATATCTCTGGATCAAAAAAGCTAAGTTATTCTTGCTTTTATATCTGCAGATCTCTTAAACTGAAAGTTTCTTCTTCAAAGTCTGTAGATACAATCCTCTCCTTTCAGTTGGTGATCTGCCGTTCCACAGTCTGAAGCTGCATCACGTCCTGATTCAGAATTTGTCTCCACGACTCGTGCTTTGTTTTCTTTCTCAATCACCTTGTGAGCAATCATTTGGAAAAGTATATATGTGTGACATAAAAGGATCAAAACAGAATTTTCCAGGAGGAAAAGCTCCGTAAGATCTCAGCCTTATGTCACTATAGTCAACTGGCGGTGATGGTGAATCCATTTGGCTGTGCTCAGAGTTCTTCAGTAAGAACGCCTTTACATAGCAGGGAATCTTGTAGATGAATGAGAAACTTATCCGTTGATTTGGATCAGTGTGCCAAGACTCCTTTGTCAAGCTTGTCACATACTTTGGTAAGCTAAGGAAGCAATGGCTTCTCTCCTCTCCTTTTGTTTTGGCGCATTTTGAGATGTCTCTTGCAATCTGGAAGCATTAGATCAACTATGAATTAGTGGAAAAACAGTTAGAAAAGCAACTTGTTATACATGCCATGCTAGCTGCTTGTCTACTCTTCACTCCCTATCGATTCATTTGACAATTTGTTGATATTGCTCAGGCGTAATTTGTTGATGTTGCTGTTGAATGATACCTCAGTGCCTCAGTCATATTCACATTATTGGCAGCATTTGAAGTCTTGGCTCTCTTGTAGTTATAATTGTTATTTCCAATGTAATTGTCACTCCTACTATTTCTTCTCCTCTTACTGAACTTGAATGCATGAGAGTAACCAACAAGCTTGTAACAACTCTCTTTCTAATTATGTCACAGAATTTCATAGTACTCAAAAAGTTCCTTTTCACTCTTGAGTTTGTATTGGACACAGAGGCTGTTAGTTCAGCCTCGTCGTCTCAGCTGAGGGAACACTCCGAATGATCAAGTAGAAATGATTGAGTTGGGCGGGTAAGGTTACGACTCATTGTTTAGCCAAATTGACCCAACTCAACTTGACCCAAAAAACTAGGTTTGAACATATTATGACCAACTCATTATTGATCTAACCCACTTTGACCCAGCATATTTAATCCAACCTGTTTATTTGTCACCTCTAATATTGACTAAGCAAACAGTCTATCTACCTACGCTACCCAAATTCACCCAACTTTTAAATGAAATAACTTGGGTGGTGTTCGCTAATGAATATTTGTCCAGCCTAAAATGCCCTAATTTAGGTAGGCCCTATTTTTATGAGCTAAATTTGACACTCTCGTAAGTATGGGGTTGCCCATTCATAGAGATGTCAACAAGTAGATACAAGATACCATGGCAGCTTTTCCTTGGACAGTTGGACCCAATACAATCCATTCTCTCTCCCTAAGCAGTTAAAAGGATCAAGTAAAATATTTATATGCTCTCTAAGTGACTATTGAATTAGTATTCACCAACAACATCCTTAATCATAGGTTTTGAGTTCGAGTATTAGGTATGAAAGTCGACTTTATTAGCAAGCGCTTTACTCCCTCCCCCGCTCCCCCCTCACAATGTGGGACTTCCTGGCACGAATTCAGGTGTAATCGGACCCTAATATGAGTACCATAACCGGATGAAAAACCAAAAAAAGAATTAGTATTCTCATTCCGTGAACCTATCTCTCTATAACTAGCCATTGTATTGTCATTATGATTCAATTGTGCTCTCTTATTAGTCTCTTCAACAACTTTTTGGAAGTACTTATTCCCATCCAAAATATAAAATAAAATTACAATGAAGTAAAAGAGAGCGATAATTGTTTTTTTACTCTAATAATTAACTAGAAGGAGGAGGAGGGTAGTTTTCCTTGTAAAAATTGCACGGGGCGCCCTATTTGGTCGCCCTCATTTAACCTATACCCATTTTTTAAAAAGTTTTAACTTGTACCCACTTTTTAAACAACTTCAGCCCCCTTTCTCCTCCTCCTTCTCCTCCTTCGTTTTCTTCTTCTTCTTCTTCTTCTTCTTTCTTCTGCTGCTGTTGGTGCTGCTATGAAACTTCAGTTCATGGGATGATTGCCATAAGTATGTTTATCAGATTATTTAAAAACAAATTATAAATAATTAAGTTAGTAGACAATAATTTGTGAATATTTCCACGTAATTATGTTCTTTTCACGTTTATTATTTCCAAAATTTATGATTTAGATATTGTTGGCAATCTGATTATTTTATAATAGTAATACACTATGAAAGAATAATGTGATTATTTATCTAGTATGTTAGAAAGCTTTTTCAAAAACATCAGCTATTTTAGTGCTGAAGTTTTTACAAAATGAACTAAATAACTTCAGCATCTTCTGCTGAAGTTTTTGAAAAAGCTTTATGACAAAGTTAATGAATCTAGGACAAAAAAACTTCAGCTTATATAGTGCTGAACTTTTTACAAATGAACCAAATAACTTTAGCATCTTTTGCTGAAGTTTTTGAAAAAGTTTATCCAGGACAAAAGAACTTCAGCTTATTTAGTGCTGAAGTTTTTACAAATGAACTAAATAACTTCAGCATCTTCTGCTGAAGTTTTAAAGCTTATCCAGGACAAAAAAACTTCAGCTTATTTAGTGCTGAAGTTTTTACAAATGAACTAAATAACTTCAGCATCTTCTGCTGAAGTTTTTGAAAAAGTTTTATGACAAAATTAATGAATCCAGGACAAAAAAACTTCAGCTATTTTAGTCTTGAAGTTTTTACAAATGAACTAAATAACTTCAGCATCTTATCTAGGACAAAAAAATATCAGCATATTGCCTTTGCTACTTCAGGCCCGTCTACTAGAATACTGAAGTTTTGCGTGATTGACTTTGCTACTTCAGCCCCGTATGCTGAAGTTCGCGAAAAAGTGGGTACGCTTGCAATTTTTTTCGCAAAGCGGGCACAAGTTAAAACGTGACCCAAAAAGCGGGTGTATGTAACGACCCGACCGGTCGTTTTGAGCCCTAGCGCGCCATTCAGCAGTCTGAGGCCATGAGCAGCTTCATTTCAGGTATTGTGACTTGTACGTGTGGTCGGAATTGAATTTCGGGAAGTCCAGAGTTAATTTAGAAGGAGAATTCTTATTTTGGAAGCTTAAAGTTGAAATAATGAACTAGGATTGGAATATTGAGTAAACGACCTCGGAATCGGGATCTGAAGGTTCCAGCAGGTTCGTATGATGATTTCGGACTTGGGCGTATGCCCGGTTCGGGTTTTGGATACCCGGGAGCGGCGCCTATGTGGAAGTTAGCATTTTAGAAGAAATTTCATAAGTTTGGCTTGAAGAGCATTTCAGTGTTATCGATGTCCGTTTGGGATTCCGAGACTGTGAATAGCTCCGTATGGTGATTCTGGAGTTGGGGGGCGATCGGAAGTGAATTCGGAGGTTCGTAGGTCATTTTGGAGCCATTTGGCTAAAGATAGGAATTTGGAGGTTTTTGAGAAGTTTGACCGGAAGTGGAATTTTTGATATCGGGGTCGGAATCCGATTCCGAAGTTGGAGTAGGTCCGTAATGTCAAATATGACTTGTGTGCAAAATTTGAGGTCAATCGGGCATGATTTGATAGGTTTAAACATCGAAAGTAGAAGTTGGAAAGTTCAAAGTTCATAAAGCTTGAATCGGGGTGTAATTCATCGTCTTAGACTTTTAGCGTTGTTTGATATGATTTGAGGCCTCGAGCAAGTCCGTAATGTGTTTTGGGATTGGTTGGTAGTTTTGGTTGAGGTCCCGGGGGCCTCGGGTGGATTCTGGATGGTTAACGGATCGAGTCCGGAGTTGAAGAAGGGGCTGGGGCTGCTGCTTCTGGTATTTCCGCTTCTGCGGATTTAGGACCGCAGAAGCGGCCCCGCAGAAGCGAAGAAGAAGCCGCAGAAGCGGCTGGAGGTGGAGCAACTCAGGACCGCAGATGCGGCCCAAGATCCGCAAAAGCGGAACCGCATATGTGGTGGGCCGTCCGCAGAAGCGGAAATTGGGCTGGAGCCCAGGACCGTAGAAGCGGCATTTTTGACCGCAAAAGCGGAACCGCATAGGCGGAAATAATTTCGCAGAAGCAGAAATCGCTGGCAGTGTGATCTTTTAAATCGGGAGATGGTCATTTCTCTCCCATTTTCCACTTGGTGTGGGCGATTTTGGAGAGCTTCAAGAGGGGATTTTCATCATCAACGTTAAGGTAAGTTACTCCTACTCATTTCCAAGTTAATACAAGATTATACCATGGAATTAAACATGAAAAATTGTGGGAAAATTGTGGTTTTGAAAGAAAACCTAGAAAACTTGATTAATTGGATTTTCACCACGAATTTGAGCATGGAATTAGGAGTAAATTATATATTTGAGATAGTGAAGTTATGGGTTCCGTATATCTTCGAGAAATTTCAAAATCCGGGCACGTGGGCCCGAGGGCATTTTGGTCATTTCACTAAGCGGAGTTGGGAATTTGTATAATTTAGAATTGTTAACAAGTATTTGAGTATGTTCTCATTAGTTTGTCGTCAATNCATCTGATTCGTTAAATTTTGGCTAAATGGATCAGAAAATATTATTGTGGTCCTGTGGATTAAGTGTTGCAAAGTAAGAATCCAGCAAAGTTATGCAGTCATGTTTGAGTACAGCGTGTAGTGATTGATACGGTGATCGTATGTCGGAAAACAGGCCCGACATAGAATTCCGGATGTTGGAATTGGGCTCTAAGGCTTATTCGTTGAATAAAAGGGAATATCTTCAGAAATTCTCGAGCTAATGTGCTCAACTAAGTTGTGGTAGCACGGGAAGGTGCATGAGGTGCTAAATAGTGATTTCAGACTACTTCAGTGTAGTTCTCAGCACGTTCGAGAACGAACGTATGTTTAAATGGGAGAGAATGTAACGACCCGACCAGTCATTTTGAGCCCTAGCGCGCCATTCAGCAGTCTGAGGCCATGAGCAACTTCATTTCAGGTATTGTGACTTGTACGTGTGGTCGGAATTGAATTTCGGAAGTCCAGAGTTAATTTAGAAGGAGAATTCTTATTTTGGAAGCTTAAAGTTGAAAGAATGAACTAGGATTGGAATTTTGAGTAAACGACCTCGGAATCGGGATCTGAAGGCTCCAGCAGGTTCGTATGATGATTTCAGACTTGGGCGTAGCCCGGTTCGGGTTTTGGATAACCCGGGAGCATTTTGGCGCCTATTGTGGAAGTTAGCATTTTAGAAGAAATTTCATAAGTTTGGCTTGAAGAGCATTTCAGTGTTATCGATGTCCGTTTGGGATTCCGAGACTGTGAATAGCTCTGTATGGTGATTCTGCAGTTGGGAGCGCGATAGGAAGTGAATTCGGAGGTCCGTAGGTCATTTTGGAGTCATTTGGCTAAAGATAGAAATTTGAAGGTTTTTGAGAAGTTTGACCGGAGGTGGAGTTTTTGATATCGGGGTCGGAATTCGATTCCGAAAGTTGGAGTAGGTCCGTAATGTCGAATGTGACTTGTGCGCAAAATTTGAGGTCAATCGGACGTGATTTGATAGGTTTAAAATCGAAAGTAGAAGTTGGAAAGTTCAAAGTTCATAAAGCTTGAATCGGGGTGTAATTCATCGTCTTAGACTTTTAGCGTTGTTTGATATGATTTGAGGCCTCGAGCAAGTCCGTAATGTGTTTTGGGATTGGTTGGTAGTTTTGGTTGAGGTCCCGGGGGCCTCGGGTGGATTCTGGATGGTTAACGGATCGAGTCCGGAGTTGAAGAAGGGGCTGGGGCTGCTGCTTCTGGTATTTCTGCTTCTGCGGATTTAGGACCGCAGAAGCGACCCCGCAGAAGCGAAGAAGAAGCCGCAGAAGCGGCTGGAGGTGGAGCAACTCAGGACCGCAGAT